GGAGATGCAGCACACTTCACAAGAACTTTTCATTGAATAAAACATGTCTGGCCCTATTTTACTTCAGTTGGGAAATGAATAAATCAGACAGCTCCTTCAGAGTACGGCATACTTGCAGATAGAAGCCCTGGGCTTTTCGCCCCTGATGTATCTTAAGTGGAATTGCAGTTCCATAATGGGTTGGTGTCTTTGTAAGTGAATATATCATATTACTGAATAAATGTCCACCGAGAGACTATTTGTTAAAATAAATAAATTATCAAGCCCTTGACACATGGTAGCACTCACTTGGGGAATCAAAATGCTAAACTGGATGTCAGTTGCTGTCTGGACAGCCACAGGATTCTCTGTTGCAAAGGTCCTGAAGATGGTGCCTTTGGTTGGAACGGGAGAGCCACCCTGAAGCTTCCAGCATTTCACCTGTTCTGGCTTTGCACGGTAAGGTGGAGCGTGAGCCAAGAAGAATCTACTGTTCCTATTAAACCCTTCAGAGTGGGCTATCAGCTATCACAGCTTCACCCCTAGCAGCTTTCCGTCTCTTCCCTCTTCCTTGCCTCACAAAGAAGTTGAACTCCCATTAGGAAGGCAGCCATGGGTAAATCCTGAAGGGGCTGCATGACACTCCCATTACAGCATACAGGCTTAGACAGGCCCATGCTGAGCTTCTGGGCTGTATGGGAGCTCAGCTGCTGTTTCTTCTGAAAATAGCCTACCAATAAACAGAGGGATTCAGCTCTTTTGACTGATGCCTTTTTCAAGCATTTAATTTGTTTAAGACATTAAAAACAAAATTATGAGAATCTGACAAGTTATTTTAGCATAATTGCCTAAGGTTCCTACCATTTTGGCTGAAATGAGGAGTGGTATGATTACGACTGAGGGGAAAAAGCAGCCAAGTTGCAGAAAGCTATAATAGTGAGTTAGCGTATTATAAAGATGTTAAACCCGAATTATTTTCTAATACTCTTTCCTCAATATTCATAATAAATTTCAATGCACAATGTGCCAGTCTCTGTTCACATAAAAATCTGAAGATTGAAAATACATTACAGTAACACAGATGTCACTGGGAAAACTTCAGTGACCTTTAGGTAGCAAAAAGCATAGCCTTTTACTTTAATAGACTCTGACATTATTATAATTCTGTCCTGGTAAACCACAAAATGTGAGTTATTACATATTTTAATCAGGTCAACTGGGATAGGAGGAGGATTTTAAAACAAGCAGAAAGAACTTCAGTAGATTACATAAATCACGTTCTGAATTTGATAGGTATGAAACAAAAAAAAATTATTGAGGCCTTTCAAAGAAAGGATTCGTGAATGCAAAGCGTGATGATTATATTAGTCAAAGAATGGAAAAGATGTGGATTTTATTTTTAGCTCCTCAAAGTAAATTTTCTTTTCACTTTGGGGATGAAATTGCTAGATTAAGACATATCACAGGCAAGGTATTTCGCCAGTCAAGCAGTCTCCAACCAGTTATCCTGGCATAGCATGCACTGTGTTAAGCAGCAGCTGCAAATATACATGCTAGGGGAATCGCAGTCACCATCTTTAGTGTATTAATATGCTTTGCATGCTGTATTAGAAAGGCAAAAATTCAATTCTCAGTCAGATCAAACACATTCTTATTTATAGTCCTTGGAGTTACCGCTTGCCATGGGAAGCAGACCTTCTCCAAGTATCCTCCTAGTGATTAGAAAACTGAAGTAACTTTTAATCTCAAATCCCACCTCACCATGGCTTGCATTAATGGTTTCCTTAGCTTATGCTCTGCGCTGCGTCACAACCCAGCACAACTGCTCACTCTGCCAAACTGCTGCAACTGAGTTCTGAGAAACTTGTTAACCAATAGAGGAAGAAAGCAGAGAAAAGAGTCAGTTCTCACAGAGACCAAACCCACATATCTTCTGCTTCTAGAAAATAAACACCACTGCAATTTCAGGCACTAGAGAATCCTTTTGATGCAAGTTTAACAAAGCTAGGAGGATTTGGCACTTTGCTTTTTCTAAATAATCACAAGTGGTGAATGTAAAAGTTACACAGACAAATGATTAGGAATAATGAAGTTTGGGCCCATCAAGCTCAGTGCTTTACAATAGTAAAGATCATTCCAATCAGATGATGGATCATGTTGATGCAAGTGGTAGCTTGCTTAGCTTGGGTACTATTGCAGACGTTGGTTGTGATGTCATCATGACAATCACACAGACAATTAATCCCTCATTTGCAACAACATTGCCAGATGAGAGATGGTTTGAGTTTTAACTGGTGATCACCCATTTTCTTTAGGAATTGTCCCTCTGGGACAATAGAGTGTCTTGAAGTGGGAGTACCAGAATTATTCCATCACTCCACAAGATATAAAAACTGGTGAAAAATGTTGGTTTTTAAAGTATACGTTAGTTCAACAGTTTCAGAATGGAAACTGTGAGCAGAAGCAGAATTCAGACAAGTTTCATATTGCAGTCGAAAAATCAAGATAGTGCAGTAAAATTAACTTGAAAAAAAGTGTTATAAAATATACATCAAACTATCTGTCTGACAAGAAACAACAATAAGCCATCATTTGTTGTAAGTAATTTCAACTTAAAAGTTATCTATTACCTCTGTAATTTTACAGTGTGAAAATGCTTCTTATCCAACTATGATATTTCAATATAGCTTTCAATATCCTTTGTAAAGTACTAAAAGGGAAACAATGCAGTCACAAACTAAGTGCAGTAAATTAGAATTAATGAGCAGAAGAGTGCAGAAAGTCTTTGCTGCTGCATAATGCTACCCTTTCAGAAGAAACCTATATCATAAGGCATTGCACGTGTACATGGAAATTCATTAATGCTACACCAAGAATAGACCTCCTTGTTGCCTACACAATCTTTTACTCACCATATACATTTTGTCCTTTGAATATGAACTGTAGTGAAATGAGAAAAACCTCTGTAAGGTAGCAAATGAGAAATACTGTGGATATTATCTTACAATGAGTGTTTTGCAGCTATCTAAAAGGCTCATCTTCCTTCTTTCTCTCCACCTTGGCAGGATTTATGCTGATTACTTGTCTTTATCCAAATTAGGTAAAGTCATGCTGTAGATATCGCTCTTATTCTAATTCAATCCCTCACTCTTGAAATATTTGCTCACAATACAATTGCATATTTTATTCTTATAATATTCTTTCTTTTCAGTAGATACAAGTAATATTTCAGCTCCCTTTTAGAGTACATGACATCAAATTCTTGAGAATTATGCTGCAAAGTGATTGGATCATGTCACTCATTTCTTTGCTTCCCTTCATATCTCCATCTTTGTCTTCAGACTCTCCTGCCATACACATTTTATTTATTAAGATCTGAAAAGTTCAGTTTGGATTCTAGAATTATTTGAAGGCAATATCAACACATATCCCGTATTCTTTTAAGTAATTTCTCACAAAACATATGAAAAGTGGTTTGGAAAATTTTCCTTCACTATGTCATCACTAGAAGTGATCCAAAAAAGAAGTGTAGCTGTAAGGACAATTCTGAAAATACCCTATTTGGAACGCTTATTCTGTCAGCATCCTAACATCCATCTACAGATCCTTAATCTTCCTATTCTTTTGCCTTTCCCCTTTTACAACAAACCCTTACGGGCAGAAACTCTTCTTTATGCTGTAAAGAACCTAGGAAAAGACTAACTTAACTAATACTGGCACATTAGCAAAATCGTGAGATGCCCAGGGAACAGTCTGCTAACATGAACACACAGAAAGTATGTCCCAGCAATATTTGCTAAGCAAAATAATAGAAAATGCAAAACAGAAATCTTTCATTTCATACCAGAATCACTGACCCTACAAAGTGGAAAATAAAACCAACAAACAGAATTTGAAACCTGTGCTCTTTATCATCAGGGCGTGCTCAGTAGATGGAAAAAAGTATTGCACAGATATTTTAAAATGTATCCTCATCGTGAGACAGAGAATTCTGATCACTGATGAATTCAAATGATTCAAGGGAAAAGTAAAATAAAATAATATATAATGTAATGCAAAGTTTAACAGTAAAAATATATTAAGTTTTGTTGTTGCTTTTTTTAACTGGCCATTATTACTACAGTTACAAGACTGAATATGTACTACAGTATAATTTCAAATATTTAATGAAGTATCAAGCTTTGATAACTTTGTTCTCAATATATCTATGCCACTGAATCTAGAAGAGAAAATTAATCAGTGTGGAAGGCCCTGTTTTACTACAGCTGGTAGGCTGACAAATCCATCTGCACAGCAAGCCAGCATCATAGAAAATTAATGTGCCATACCTTAAAGTGAGAGACCACAATATGTGTACGTATGGCTGTGTTTCTAGTAAAACCACAAAAAGATTTAGTCTTTATTTTCATATTTTGCAGGCACTGACAGGAAAATAGTCAGACATACATTTGAAATAAGATTATAAAAGAGCAACAAGCAAAATACATTAACTATAAATCAGCTTTTTCTCTTTACAGCACGGAAAGTCCTGGAGCCTACATATGAACTCTAATCATTCACAGTTTTTTACAGGAAGGTCCACACTTCCTTAACCATCTCTTACGTATGACTTCTACAGCATTTGGATTTAGACTGGAGATAGAACTCAAGGCGTTGGAGTTTAGGGATTTGCAGTCCCATTCTTTTTGCAATTAATCCCCACATACCTTTAATATATATAAAGAATTCATTCCTGAAATCTGGTCTGCAATTCACACACAAAACAATGACCGTAAGATTAGATTTGTGGAACTGAAAATAAATATGACTTTCAAGTAGTAGCGGAAATAACTTTTTCCCTGTTCATTGCAGAGGAATTGGTCTAGATGATCTTCAAGGTCCCTTCTAACTCAAATGATTCCATTATTCTATATTAAGCATTTCAAAAATCCAATTTTTTAAAATACATACTGCATGTCCTTATCATAGATAAATATTATAAAGCAAAATCAAACAAAAAACTTGAATAAATTTCTACTCACATTTTGTTACTGGTCTCCTTCCAGTCTGGCTTGCCATATACATCCCATCTCTTTCTCTTCTATTCCTAAATAGAATATAGGGGAAAAAAAAAAAAAAGCAAAAACCAAAAAACAGTTAATTACTAAGTGCCAAGCAGCAGAAATTACACAACATTAAGCTGCTATAAACCAAGTTATCAACTACAGGCATTTCTGCAACACTGAAACCATAAGAAATTTCATGTTTGAACAAATCATTATAGCTATAATTAGTTATACCAGTTCTTAAATTTTCCAAAATTTTCAGATTGGGAAAAAAAGGACATTTTTCATTATATTCTTTTCTGTCACAGGAAGAAGTTTCACACACATTAGAAAATCTTTGGATGCCAATAAATCAACAATTATAACTCAGACTATCACTGAATGTAATAGCCATAAACTACAGCAATACAATTAAACAAGAAAAAAAAACCAAAAAAGTAACACTGACAGGAAAATAAAAGAGAGAGAGAGAGAGAGAGAGAAAGAGAGGAAGAGAGAAAGAATGAGAGAAAGAAAGAAAGAGAGAGAGAGAGAGAAAGAAAATCTCTTATTCAAGAGACTGAAAATCCATTTTCAAGGAACACACCTTGAAACTTTGAATTCTACAAAACACAAGGAATTATTTTAATATCAAATTCTTGTAGCATTATCTACACAACTACATATAAGTCATATTTTCGAAGACTGTACAGTACAAAGAAGTTCAAAGCTGTCCAACCGCACATGCATTGCACATGTTGGAAATGTCTCAGCACTGACTCCCACAGAGGTTTTTTTCGTTTTTGCTTCCTCTCAGCCACTTTAAAGGGAAAATATTATCTGTTTAAACATCAGGTAATGACACAACTATAAGATACTAATAACAGCTTTCCTAATGTTTAGTTACTTACTGAAGATAACTAATGATAATACCACTTATATCCTAATGGCATAAAGATAGCACAAACATGAAAAAATCTTTCTATACATGAAAGCCAATGTTTTGAACCAGAGAGAAAACATCATACAGAAAATTGTTTTCTTCTGCATGAGAGAATCACTTCTAGATGCTGATAAAAGCTCCTTAAGATTTAGAAATTATTTTTGTTATTTTAGTTACTAATCACAGAATTAGTTAAATTGCCAATACACATTACTTTCTGAAGTCACCGGCATAGGATTTAGCCCAAAAATTCTCCTTAACATGAGCTGTAAGAGTTTTCTACTCCTTGTACTAACATATACCTTTTACCCATTCACTAGCTCCATACTACATTACTTGTTTAGTTTTGTTATCATTTAACATCAAAATATGAAACATCCTTAATATCTATTCAGCACTTTTCCAAATTCTTCTCTCAACCTCTTTTTTTTTCTGGAAAAAATAGCCTCTATTTAACCTTTTATTTCACCACAAGAATTCTTTAGGCTTTTTGTGGGAGATAAGAGCTCTACACCTCCTTTGCATTAATCTAAACACAGTTTTAGGATCTGTGTTGACATCTAAAAAAACAGCCTGAAATTAAAGAATAGGAGCTTCTAGGATTTGACTATTGTGCTGTGATGTTCCACATGTTTTATAAGTTGATCACTCAATCACCACATCTGGAGAGAATAATACAGAAGACAAAGTTCAATTTAAAGTTCTACCTGTTTTTTCCTCATGCTAAGTAGGATACAAATACAAAGAAAAGCTACAAATAACTCTTTTCTCTTTAATTAGTTATAAAAATGAGCTGCCTTACTGCCACAGTGCATCAGTACTGAACTTTCTTAAAGTGGTGTTCCATGCAAACAGAAGTTGATATAGTGAAAGCAATAGTATCCAGTTCTGTTTCAGAACTCCTTGTTTGTATGTTGTTCTTCTTCTTTTTTTTTTTTTTTTTAAAGTAGAAATGTCAGGGGTAAAAAGGTATAAAATAGCATAGTCAGGAAGCACAGTATGTAACTATGCTTAGAATTGCTGTTTTCACTGGAGTGCCTTCATTACAGTCTGCCACAGATATTCATAGCTGCTCATATTGCAGATGGTATCCTGGGATAATATTAGTGAATTTTTTATATGAATTGGTTTTAGGCTGAACGTTACTTGAACCTAATCTTCTATCACTAAGTGTCAAACACTGGACAATGTCATTAGTGCAATTAATTAAGCAGCTAATGGATTGTGCAGAGGATATTGAATTATGACACTTTGGAACTGCATAGTATTAAATGTCATAACCAGGTCAGTATGAAATACTTGTATTCATCATTAAAAAACTATTCAGTACAACAGAGAGAGGACTGACTAAATCATCCAGTGGAGATCCAGCTATTAGTTTTCTATTTCTGCCTGGTGTTGAACTACAAACAAATTTTACTTCTTGATTTCCTCTCTGAATATGAATTCTACATGAGCACTTAAAAGCAGATGTGGTACAACTGAACAACTGGCTGCACTTTAACACTTTTTTTTTTTTTTTTTTTTTTTTTTTAAACCAAGAAAGCGCTGCTGTACAGGACTGGGAAATACGATGTTACAGGTTAGACATGTGTGTATCAAAATTACTTGAGGACAGGAAACTATTGCTGAACTACATGAAAAAAATGTGTGATCCTTGAAATGTTTATGCAATGCCGTATCCAGAAATCATCACAAACAGTAATTCAGAAACCCCTGAACTGTTAAACATCTTGATAAAAGTGGATAAATAGAGGTTATAGAGCAGAAATGTTGGCTGCAATCAGCAAGGTAGAAGTTTCTGAATAGAAATGTTTCTACATAGCAAATTAACAATGACATTTTAACTTTTTGCAGTTTATGCTGCGGTGGGAAATTGAATTCTGCCATGTCTGTTTCTTTCTGAGATTGCAATGGATCAAGCCCTCCAGTATAAGCTTCTTCCTCCCCAAAATATTTCTTTCAAGTGAATGTTCAAGTACGCACACTGGAAAGTTATCTCAACATTTGATATCTAGATCTCCATTCTTCACCATAAACATTCATGTTGAAGTGATTTAAGGTATATTTTGAGATTGTTGAAAATGTTTAGTTTCATTTTAGGATTTGCAAAAAAAAAAATTGATAAAATAAAAAAAATGAAGTCACACCTAACAGAAAAACAATTTGATTTTTATGTAGTTCAATTATTTGTTTCAAGACAAGTTGGGTACCTACAGGTACACTGACATTGTTGCATTCTTAGTTCTGCTGACACTACAGTTGAAAGAGTTACATGATTAATACATGAAGTGTTTGGCTAACTGGAAAGGACACAGGAATGAACTGAATTCAGACAATTCCAAACTGATTCTTAATTATTTTCTTTCATAAACTGTTTTGTTTGTTTCAATTAGATAGCCTTGTAACCTGCAGAGTTACAACATTCAGTATTTCACTTTGAGGAACACATACAATCTCCCAGTTAGCATGGCACATGGTTTCTGATTCTGTTTATGCAGCAGTCACTTCTAAATTTACTAGCCATGAAATCTGATCCCCACTTAAGAAGACCTTAAGTCCTGCAGTCAAAGGTAGCAGATACTGTGACCATCATACCAGGTGCAGACTCCAACATGTGTGAAGACATAGGAATATTCCTCACTTTATACTTCTATTTCTACACTACTGTCTGGTAAGGACCATTTTTTTTTACTCTTCCTGTTATATTTCAGTAATACTCAAGATTGAAAGAGATTTCCATAACACACTGAGGCTAGGCTTACCTTCTTGCAAGCAAACTGAAATCCTAGAAAGCAGCACATTTATCAATCTCTTCTGCATTCAATAGGTTTATTAGCATACTACGCACATAAGGCACACATGTTAGAATAAAGACTGCTAGGAAATTCCTAATTAAAATACGATCTCATGAGCACTGTGGCTGCTATGGCAACTCAGGCTAAATAAAAAGGTGATACTACATCAGCAGGACACAGCAGGGCAGATGAACAAGCATGATGCTGCACTATAATGTGCCAAAATGTGCCTGAGCTGTTCACTGCACATTGGCTTCTCTTCAGTTCAAAGAAATGTGAATCCCCTCCATATCTCATATGACTAAAAATAACATTACAGAAATGGTTATGCCACTTATAATACGGATTACTTTTTTTTCCCCCCAAGTTCTCCTCTATGGCCAGTTGCTCTTCAGCTCTGAAGAATTCTATGGGCTGTCTTAAAATGCATGCAAATATAAGGAGTGCAAATTATACTGTTACCACCAAAATGCAGAACACCATATGCATGAGAAAATTGCCAGCTCCCAGCTTTTTTTTAAGCAACTGTTCATACAAGATAACGTATTAACCATTAAAGTAGCATCACACAGTCAAAACTGGCACACAATTAATTGATTTACCACCACTAACAATGCTTACTGGTGATCACAAATTGTAAGCCTCTCAGTTTGAGTCTGCAGTTCGTTTATCAAGGTTACCAGCCTTCCACTGGTGCAAGGCAGATGCAATTAAAGACAACAACAAGAATCAGGAAAGTGAAAAATCAAACACAGACATTACTGGACATGTTAAATATTAAAAAAAAAAATCCTCTCTTGGTTCAATGTTATGCATAAACTTTACTGTGGAGCAAGATTTTATTTGCCTCAACTCCTTTCTTTGAAGATGTTACATCATATGGGGAGAGAAGCTATTGCTATTGGCTTTTTTTTTGGCAGACTTTGTTTTTGGAGTTCTGCTTGCTTGGTTTGCTTCTTTTTTTTTCCTCTGCCAAAAAAAAAAAAAAAAAAAAAAAAAAAAAAAGCAAGTTTTCCAGACCAAGGAAATATCACACTGTGAGAGCAGAAACACAAGATGAACAGAAGGAGCCCTTATGTCAAGAGGACATACTGTTTTAAGAAGTCCTTTGTCTTTCTTGTCAAAGTGTAGAGAAAATACAGAGATTCCCTCCAGTTCTTTCTATGGCTCTTCATAATAGAAAATTTAGTTTTGCAATGCTTCCTTTTTCCTACTAGTAAAAACAGACACTCAAACCAAATCACTTTTCAGTGATTATCTGCATTAGCAGCTGGGAGTGTAAGCTGGATACCAGATCACCAACAAAACATCAAAATGACAA